TGTGGTTCAGTGGTGGTATGCTACTCTAGTTTGTTTTTTTGATGTCTTATTTGTGTGCTTTGGGTTTCTTTTTGGGGATGGTGGTTTCATTGTTTTAGTGGGTGTGTTATTGCCAGGTGGAAGGTGTGTATTTTTTAAGGGAGGTTTTTAGTTATCTTGCCGGGGGGGGGGGGGTGGAGGTGGGGTTGTTGGCGAGGGAGATGGTTGTATGATTTGAAGACGGGCTTGGGCGGTAGATGACCTTGTTGTCCTGTTTTGGTTTTGCATGTTTTGGTCAATGTCGACACTGGTTTCAACGCAGGACAGTGGGTAATGGTTCGTCTTTGTACGTGGCAATATTAAAATGTCTATGTTAACCCTGGGTATCTCTGAAGTATTAGGCGTATTCATAAACCTCACAGTGATCGTATCCTTGATCATATGTTCACAGCATGCCCTTGTCAGCCAGCCTCCTGGCGCCCTCCTCCTCCTCCTCCAGCATACCCGCAAACGAAACCTTTTGCGTCACCACCGTCGTCGTCTTGATGCCCTCCCCGCCCGACACAGACACCTCATTAAAGCTGGACGGCTCCCAACCCGCCACCACACTGACGCTATACCTCTTCCCACCCGGATTTTGTGTTAGTATCCCCTTATCCAACTCCCCAAACTCAATATCATTCCCCAACGCACTGCGCGGCAATGCCGCCTCCTCATCCCCCAGCCGCAGCTCCTCGGTGCTATCCGTATCACGCAGGGTCGACCCCTTGAACATGGACGCACGCGCCGCCGACGACCCAGCGCCGGTGCCGCCGGCCGCGCTGCCTGCTCCGCCGAACGGGGTGCGGCTGGCGCGGGGACCGCTCTTCGGGCCGCCCGTGCCGACGGAGTGGCCGGCTGACCGCAGCAGGGAGCCAAAGATGCGGGGCATGGTCTGGACGAGGACGGGGCGGATGGTGGGCAGGCAGACGGCGATGACGCCGACAGAGAGCTCGAGGAAGGAGAAGGTGGCGGCGTCGACGTTGTCCCAGGTGGGGTCGGTGGATTTGGCGGCCGCGCTGAGGGTTTTGATGCGGTAGATGGAGACGGCGCAAGGGCTAGGGGGAGGAGGTTGTCAGCAGGGCTGCGGCGCGTGGGGGTGGGGGGCTTGCGGGACGTTGGGACTTACAAGATTCCCAGGGTGAAGACGATTAGCAGCATCGCCTTTTGCTTTCTCGGCAGCTGGAGCGAGCTAATGACCGGGATGGGCATGGTGAAGACGGCAAAGTCCGTTACGACGTTGACGCCTGCCATGACGTACCAGATGGTGGCATTGTCGAGGCAGAATCCCTTGACGTTCGGGTCCCAAAAGGCAGCAACGGGCATGCAGACCATGGGCAGGAGGAAGGAGAGGGTAACGGCCCAACATGTGAGAAAGCACAAGCCGACAACGATGATCTTTTTGAGGATCGTGTTGGAAAAGATGCGCTTGTATTGGAGCAGGATGGAGATCTTGGTCAAGCAGACCGCGACGTTGTAGACTGCGATGGAGCTGTAAAAGGACTATCCGTTGTTAGTTCCACAGTCCGAAGGTTAGCCAGGCGAGGAAGCCCTTACCTTCATGTACGGGATAAAATCCTCATCAGGCATCATCCAGATATGGCGACCAAGGCCATATTTTGACTCTGTCTGGGGTCAGTTGACGCCTTTCTAACACCACCACAAGGTCATTGGGGGCTTACCGAGCCCGATCGCCACTGCCGACGCTAGGGTTAAGATCTGGGAAACCTCTGTTAGATATGGCTGCCCTTCAACTTGTTGGGAGTTCAGCCGCCCCGTACCTGTGCTGGCACGATGATGGCATCGTCCAACCCAAAAGACCGGAGGATGACGGCACGGGAATAACACCTCAAAGTGACGGCCAGGGTGGAAAGGATGCTCGCCACGGAGAGGATAGCGATGATTTCGCCCACTCTGGACTCGCCATCCAGGGCGGGATCTGGGCTCGGGCCTGCCATGTCGTTGGCAAGTCTGAAGGCGTTGGGATGAAGACTCCGTAAAATCCGTGAAAATTATGATGCGGATGACTGGGAGCTATATGCACGCTCGCGGGGCCACATGGGGTTGAGCTTCCCTCTAGAGTGTAACTGTCGATCGGGGATCGACGAACCGGTCCCAGCAGTGTGGAGAGTTGACGACACTGCAAGTCTCGTTTCCTGAGGCAGATGGCGAGTCAGCATCGCCGTGTTTGCAGTGCGGAGCCGGTGATCAGCAAAACGGCCCCTGAAACAACCGCAGCCATCCTCGAGCCACCACGCGACGAGCAGCGAACCGGCTGGGGGCGATGACTCGATTACAGGGATGGGGTTTGACAGAAGGGATCAAGGTTTTGCTGTCAACGATTTGGCCCTGACAGTTCTGACATCTGACTCGGGCGTCCGAGCACCTAGACCAGCGATTGGAGTGGCCAAGTGAGGATATTCCCTGCACGAGTCCCCATTGCGGAGCCTGTTAGAGCATGCGTTTCCGTGATACGTCGGAACTGTTTGCAGCGTTGTGCAAATTTGCTCGTGTCTAGCCTCGAACGTGGGCTTAAGCTAAGCCCAATCACACTTCACATCATTGTCGTCCAAGCGGGTGGCGACGAGTGCTGAAGCGGGGATGACCGAGGCAAGCGAGGGCAGAGCGATCATCAACAAAAACGAGCTTCCGACGTGGCTTGGTACCCAATAAAAAAGTGTCAAACCGGACGCCCAGGACTCGTCCATGTCAGCGGTCCGACCGCCCGACCGGGAACCGGTGTGTTGCAAGAGCTGGGCTTGCATGCTTGGCAGGTTAAAACAAACGTCTGGGCGTCTGGGGGGATCGCCACCGTCGAGGGCTCGATGTTTGGAGGGCAAGGAGGGGTTATCTGAGGCACCCCGTACCAGGGCATCCTGTTGTGGATGTCGATGGGGTTCCCAGTGATTGTCTCAGATTCCCAGATGCACACGCGAGGTGCAAATGGATCAGCAGGGCACGCTGGACAATTGCGACAATCGTTCATGGCAACGTGGACGTTAACCGAGGCGGAGACGAGATGCAAATCGTCATGTTGGGAGATCCCAGGAACCACCAGTGCCAAGTCGGAATTTTGGTGATCCAAGGGTGATCGACACAGCCAAAGCGTTCAACTGGCAGGTGGGTGGCAGGCTGAAGGGCCAGAGGCCCGCTGAAACCCGCTCTGCCGCTAAGGGTCAAAAAGGAAACGAGATCGGAAACGTGAATGGTGCGGGAGGCCCTGCAAAACTTGACTCGACGGTTTCGACGGTTGTATCGCTCTTTTCCAGAACTGGAAAAGCCAACCATGATGGCAGCCTGAGTTTCCGTATGCGGAGGGGTTTCCCTTTTCTCACAAAAGAGAAACTTGGAAGAGCAAAACGCTAGTTATTTCAACCTACCTCGTTATTTGGCAGCCACCTGCGGAAATGTCGAAACTCGATTCGATGGCATGACGCTCACGGCGAACGCCCATGTTGAGATCGTCCCCGATGTTGCCGCTCGGATTGCCGAGGCCAAATTTGGTGACCTTGAGATTCGCGACTTACTTGGTCCTCGGTGAGCCAGATGTCCAACGCTGCGATCTTGTCCTTCAATTGCTCGATGTTCCGTCCGCCGATAGCCGGAACCACGTTGTGCACGCCAAGGAGCGCTGCTTTCCGCCGAACAGAGGCGATTGCGATGGCCACGACCGACTTGGTCCCGTGCTCGACAGCAACTTGCGCCAAGGCCTCGCTCATCTGTAACTTGACCACCGCCGCCGAAAGGCCGGAATGTCTTACCAGCCTTTTTCCTCTGTTCGACTTCCTCGGGGATCTGGAACTTGCCTGCCCCCAGGACCTCCCCGGGACTGATCGCCATGTCAAATCCCCGAGCCATGGGTATAATCTCGCGCTCCAGATCGCGCACTAGTACGCTCCATTGGCCCGAGGAGACGCTAAACTGCGTTTTCCCTTGCCCTTTCGCGTATGTGTTGGCGGCGGTCACGATCCACGCCGGGGTGTTGGAGATCCCCAGGTAGAGCACCCTGAGTCGGGGACCCCTCAATGGACGCCGTGTGGTGTACTTTATGTACAGGATGTCGATCTAGTCGGTCTGCAGTCGGCGCAGTGATTCGCGTACGCTCGTGTGCAGGCTGCGCCGTGAGTTGCCGCCATGATTTGCCGTTTGGCCTTTTTGCACTCAGAGATTGACGGCGTCGTATAAGCCCCAGTCGGACGTCTACTTGGTGGCCCCGACGAGGCGGTCGCGCACCTTGCGGTTGGGCATCCACTCGCCTAGCAACACTCCAAACTCGCCGTCTTAGTAAGCATTCGCCGTGTCGATGAAGTTGCCGTCTGCTTGGTTTTGTTAGTCGATGCAGGTAGGTACTCAGGGGCTCGGTGGATAGATGAACCTCGACATCCGCATAGAGAAACTCAAATCCCCTTTCCTTATCCAGGGTCAGCGGCCAGAGACAGACGCCGGCCGTCCTACCTCTGTAGGCGGATCGGGGGTAACGGAGGACCGTCGAAGAAGCCGGGCCATGTTCAACAATAATGGTCACGGCACGGGTCCGTACTTGACGTCAACTCGTGAACCGGCCGGCTGTCCTCCACGGCAGCAGTACCCAACTCCCACCACGCATGCCATGTGCCTTGTCCCGTCCCGCACTCTTATACCCACGCGGGCGGCTGAGGGGCTGCATGGGGGAACGATGCGTGTTGGTGGTTGAAAGGCTGAAAGGTCGATTAGCGCTCCTTCACTCGTGGTTGACGACGATGTATGGTTACACTGGGCCGCTTGGCTGGGCTTCTCTTCCGCCCGGCGGGCTTCGCCCTATATGGCGGCTATGCACGTCTACTAACAATTTCCGGACGGATCCTGGTCTCCCAAGGCCCATGCGTCATCCTTTCCTACCTCCCTAGCTTATAGGCCTAGCATTTACCGACAGTGGGCGCTTCGCAGTCGCGATAGGCGTGGCTGCAATCAAAAACTGGGAGAAATAGGGACGGCTGGAGATATCGGCGTGACAAGTTTCGGATAGTGCGGGAAGATGGCGTCTGGGGCATGCCGAGGTACCGAGTTGCCCGTGTACCTAATATCTTTGCAGCGAGAACACGGGGACCACGGCAGCTTTCTCCACGGGAAGCATTGTTGGAAATCCAATAAGTAGGTACACGGGCAAATATACTGGCCATAAGCGTCTGAATCGTCACCCCCCATCTCAAACAGTCCTTGCGGCACTGAGCTATTCAGGGATCCATCGCATCAACCTATTGTTGGCACGTTTCTAACCCGTGTTTTCCCTGGTACATCTCACGACTCTCCCACCCCGACAACTGAGTAGTCTCCCAACCTTGCACAGACAAGCCCGAAGAGACGGAGAACCGACCCGCCGCCCCCCGGCACAACCCCCCTTTCTCAAACTCACCACCCCAACACTGCCTTAATGGCCTCCGCAAGCACCTCCGCCTCTGCGGCATGCGTGTCCGCATTCGGATGATAATCACAGCCCACCTCACTGCCCTGCGTCGACCAATCCACAAAGTGCGCCTTGGCACCCAACTCCGCCACCGCGCTCTTCAGCGCGCCCGTCTGCGTGCTCTTCTGCGCGTCCTCCGCGGTCGGGTAATAATCACTCAGCATGGGCGACCCCACCAGGAAGAAGTGCGCGTCCGGGTAGTGCGTCTGCAGGTCCCGCACGAAGGAGACCAGGCCTGCGGTGTAGGTGGGGATGTCGAGGGCCTCGCGCGCGTTGAAGGGGTTGCCGGACGCGTCCCACGAGATGTAGCTGAAGTCGTTGGTGCCGAGGTTGATGACGATGGCGGAGGGGGACCAGGAAGCCGGGTGGGGGTAGCTGTTGTCGGGGTCGTCGGCGCCGTAGCGGGTGTAGAGTTGCGGGATGAGCGGGCTGGTGTCGGGGCTGCCGATGGCGATGTTGCGCACGATGCCCTTGCCGCTCCAGGCGATCACGTTGTAGTCGGCGTTGAGGGCGACGGCGGCCAGGGCGCCGTAGGTTTTTGGGTTGTTTTCGACGGCGGCGCTGTTGGCGCAGGGGTTGGTGCCGTCGAGGCCGTAGCCGACCGAGATGGAGTCCCCGATGATTTCAATTTGGCGGGCAGGGATGGTGCTGGCTACGAAGGCGCCGTTGGTGGTGATGGAGCCGAGGAAGATGGTGCCGTATTGGGGCTCGGACCGCTTGCGGAGGGTGACGGTGTGCGTGCCCTGAGAGAGACCGGCGGGGGTGGTGATGCTGGTGCCGAAGTTGGTGATGACGATGGGAGCGGCGCCGTCGACGACGAGGTCCACGCTGTTGGTGCCGCTGATGGAGGCGATGCCAATGGAGGCCGAGGTTCCTGTGAATGTGAAGGAAACACCGGAGCCCGGCCAGCTCAGCTCCTTGGTATCCGGGTTGACGCGGCCGACATAGCGAACGCCCGCAGTGCCTGTTGAGGCCGGTGGGGTGGTAGACGTGCTCGAAGCAGGCGGCGAGGGGGTGGTCGATGTCCTCAGAGTGGTCGCGGCAGCGCCGGGCTGGCACTGGCTGTACCAATCATTCACGTATACACAGCTATACGCCGACACGCAGCTGGTAGCACCGGTATAGCCAATGCCACCACACTGACCCCAGGCACCGCTCTGAGCGGCGGCACCCCAAGCAAAAACCCCAGCGACGACAAATGACTTCATCTTGGCGGGATTCGAGTCAATACTCGGCGGTTGTTGATGGAAACAAGAAGGGAAGAGGAAACTCTGCTGGGAGAACCGGGTTCTTTATAGAGCTCGCCGTAGGGCCGATAATAACGTTCGGTCTCGTGCAAAGCGATGCGAAGCAGAGCACGGAGATAACCCCTGAGCAGGCAAGACAGTAAGTAGCCTAACGCGGAATCTCGCGAGGTGAATCTGACGACTCTCCACCGTCGACGATACTCAACCTCAGCAACACCACGGGTTACGGTAAACCACGAGACAGCCCCGGACGAAGGGAAATCAGAGGCGACGGAAATAGGCCAGCGCGAACACGACAGCCACTAAGGTTGATCAGTTTATGAAAGGCGCGATCGACAACCGTTAAAAGGAACCCTTACTGAGAAAACAACAGCAATCAAGGCGCATCCGCAACAACGAATTGCAAGCACAGGCTATCGCGATGACCAAAACTGCGTGTTCGCCGTCGGATTCACGGGCAGACGACGGGCGAACGGGACAGAATGAAATATAAACTAGCAGCAAGGCGACTCGGCGTTTGGGGTGGGTCAAGCTCGCTTAGATGCCGCCCAGCGGTGACAACGGCCCGATGCAGGATCTCGGAGGTCCCGGCATCTGTCCCGTCGACTATCCCAGTACCGTCGCCTGCTGTCCTACGGACGTTGCTGCGCGGGAAACCTAGTAGGCGGAGCTACAGGTCGTCCGTTTTGCCCGCCCCCACTGCGGCAGTGCCAGGTGAGGGCCTGGCTTGTTTTACCGACGAGCGGCGGCGGGTTTCCGGAGCTGTTGCCTCCGGGCTCAAAACATACAGGCGCCCTGACCCCAATGTACCTGGACACGGTGAAGTCGTGTGCTGTGAATGAGTTCTGGCCTCGTGGCTGTCATGACAAATCCACTCCTTTGTATTTCTCTCCCCAAATCCATTGAATCCAAGCAAAGGCAGGGCGTTGTCGGGCGTGGTATCGGGACGGACTGTTCTCAGATAGGTACATATATGGTCTGATTGGGGGCGACTGGAGGGGTTAAAGGAGCCAAGACGAGATTTCCTAAGCCGTAAGCGCCGTGCCGCCGTCTGCGCGCCATTTTCTTGCCATCCCTTCCCACGTTAGCGAATTCTTTCCTCCACGAATGGCATCTGGCCCTCAGCTCGCAGGTCTTGCGAATAATTAAGTTAGGTACCTATGTAGTTTTCGAAGTAGCAGTCCCCACTCCGGAGCTAAAAGATGATTATTTTCGTGCTCGAGTCAATCAACGAATTTTCGATAGTTACTTCTTCGGACCCCTTTATCCGCGTAAATGAGGTCTTTGGCACTCAGCAAAGCATCGAGGACCTTCTTGTGGCTCCTTGGCGTCGTAGGGCGTTTCGATGCAAGCCATGCCATCCTCGACGGCCTTCTTCAGCTTTGGTTCTCTACATTCTGTCGCTGGTGATCTTGTCGAGAGTTCCGGGGAGTTGTCGGGTTCCCTTGCCCACACTGCTGAGAACATACTCTCATCAGCTCTCACAGGCTTTACGCGGTCATCCTTGTCATTCAGCCGGTCATAGTCAATGCTCCATAGCCGAAACGGCCTTCTCGGTGCGAGGTTGACAGGTTCTGGGTCAGGCTTCGGCTTCGGCTCCGGTAGAACCTGCCGTTCTTCTAGTTGTGGGTATTGGTACAACAAGGCCAGAGGCAGGTCACAACATCCCGCGGTTTTAGCGCTGTTTGATCTAGACATGGATGCGCGAGGCTTGCTTTGGTGGCACTGGTGCCCGCGCGGCTTGGGGTCAGATACCAGAGTTAATCGGGATACTGGCACCGACTACTAAAACCAGAGGAAAATTGGCATCACCGTCCAAGGACCCAGCCCCCGCTGACCATGCATATGTAGGTATGCATGGCCAGCGCAAGTTGCAGATATCACAGGCCAATCATGCCAAGCAGAAAGCCTGATGAGAAGTGTGGCGCTCAATGTGTACGCAGGAGACTGGAGCGTCACGCACATCGCCTTCTTGTCTTCCATGCTTAAGGCTGCTTTGGCGTATTTCGACTCCGATACCAGCCTCAGGGAGACACGCGCGAATTGCACTTTTGCTTGAGACATTCCAAAACACGCCTACCTTATTGTACCGTTACCAAATGACTCGAGATCCAAGGCTTCTCAGCCTGCTGAAATCAATCAGGGAACATTTTGATGCCCCTCCCGCTCTTCTTCGACTTCTGCAGTACGAGTAGCCGAGGTTCTCCTCATTGAGTCCATCAGCGATGTCGAGGGAACAACGACGACGCGCTTTTACGCCGGTCCGTCAGCGAAGTCATTACCGGGCCCAAAACTTCCGGAGTACCATCCGAAGTCTCTTGAGTCTTCACTATCGAAACCCGGAGAAAGAGAAAAAGAAGACCGCAATGAAGGAGGAGTACGAGGAATGCCATCGGCGGTCACACGAGAGGAAGAAACCCCCGATGGAGAAAAAGAAGTAGGAAGAGGAGTGCCACCGGCAATAACATATTTAGCGCACCGCAACTTCCTGGTGCCTGCCGCCGTGCTTCCCTCGGCCATCTCCCTGTCGAAGCCTGAAGTCCTGGGACTTGTTGCTCGTATCATTATCGTGGTGGGCGATGATACGCTTGTGCGAGCACTTGAGCCCTGGATTACGAAAGAGAGGGGAGGAGGAAACGGAGCAAAGGCCGGAAAAATAGGGTTTCCCGAAGCAGATCTTAAGAGATTTATCAGGGCGCACATACAGGCGGATAATGATGGACTACGCCAGGAGGAGGAGGATGCAGCTGGGGAGATGCCGGGTTTCGTCAGCGTTATTGGTTGGTGGAGGCGGAGAGTCCAGGATCTCTCCAGTTTTGTCGTGGAGCGAAAGATTGCCGACGGGAGACCTCGGAGCACCGATGACGATTCTATGCCGCTGAACCGCACGTTTGACCGTTATTCCCCCTGGCCGGCTTGTACACACAGGCCTCATCACTTGCTCTCAACGTCCCAGAAGGGAGGGGTGGCGATCAATGTCGCGCAAGAGTGCATGTCTCTATATTGGGCTGTGGTCGACGGTATCCAGACCGGTAAGTCCGCTGCCTCCTTCACTGCCATAAAGCACGGTATAAAACGTGGATCCTCCGGCAGCGTGGTCTCAGACCCAAGGCCATCACTCTGTGCGCGACCGATCTTGTACTGGGGTATCATATCAGCGAGCAACACACCTGCAGCATTTCAGTAAAACTGTTGGTACGTTACGATATAAACAGTCGTAGATGACGGACAACAACAACAACAACAACAACAACAACAACAACAACAACAACAACAACAACAACAACAACAACAACAACAGCAGCAGCAGCAGCAGCAGCAGCAGCAATTAGGCGAAGAGGCGGATAAGGAAAGGAAGATTGCTTCACGGGAGGCCATCGATAATATGGTTATGCGAAACCCGCACGCCGGATTCAAGACCCGCCGGGAACACGAGGAGGAACCCACCCCGGGGACTCGGCTCTCTCAGTTTGTCAAGGCGCTGGGGCAAGTCGAGTCCATGCCACCTGACTGCCTTCAAAACTTTGTGCAGTCCGTCATCGCGCACAATGGTATGCCAAGACCTCTCAGACCTCCCCAGCCATGTCCTAAGTGCCTATTGACTAATCTCGTCACAGGAATTCGAGGGCCAGCTCGTCTGGTGGCACTGGATCCTGGCGTCCGCAGCCGTAAGCATCGCCACGTACCTAATACTCTACTGGGGGGAGATCTACAACACCATGAGGTCGCTACCGCGGCAATCCAAAATCAGGCTGGCATCCATGCTGGCTGTGGCAGGTCTCTCCGTCGCGGCATGGAGACTGTCCTTGAGCTCCCTACCGAGCTCCGCAAAAGGCATTATCGCTGTGTTTGTGATATGGCTTCCTTCCATAGTTTTCCTTATTGTTGCCCGTCGGCGTAACGTCAGCGTCCGCAAAGTTGTTCTTCAATTATTGGTCATCTTTACTGCCGGAGGGCTCTGCACCGCGGAATGGAGGCTAGCCGACAGCGTCTCCATCCCGACCAGGGTGAAGGCGGCCGTGGGACCGCTGATTTTCCTTGTTCCATTTCACCTGGTCGGTGTTGCCGGGTACCTCTCCCGACAAATGCGCAAAACCAGAGGATCCCAGGATCCAACCGCGGGCCGGGCTCAGGGGGTGTCTGCGCCTTATCGCGACTGGCACAACGACAGGGCTTACTGTTGTTATCTGGGAATTTGCGTGCGAGTGCCTTGCCTGTTGGTGTGCAGGTATGCATTTCTTCCGTTTTGTCATGACTGTTAGCAGCTTGCGTGCGCGCCCTTCATGCCTATCCTCGCAAGATATGGGCCGGCCCGCGGCTGGATAGGATACGTCTGGTTCACGCAGTTGCGGCTGGGGTTGTGGCTGTAGCTGTGCTTGCTGCCGTGGCATGGAAACTTGATGACAGCGGTGCGCAAACAGCAGTAAAAGCAGCAATTGCTCCCCTGCTTTTCTGGCTCCCGGTAGCCGGCTTGGATATCTGGTGGATACGGCATTGTAGCCGAGCTAGAACGACCCTTTACCTCGTCGTCTTGCTCGGCCTGTTAATATGGGTTAGTATCGGAGCCTGGAAGATTGGCGACAGTGAGCTCGACGCCGACGTCAAGACCGCTGCAGGAATGTGGGCCATCTGGTACGCCCCGGCCGCTGTGCACAGGAGCTTGATAACGTATGATTGAGCCGTACCAACGACGGGAGAGTTGAGGGTATCAATCGGTGTTCTTTGTAACATGATGATTTTAGCCATTTTTGAGGCTCAGTCGACGACTCAAGGAGCATAACTACCAGTTCCCTGGGCCAAAAAGCCTACTAGGTAGAGGTAGTTTTCTAAGACAAATCTTGGCTCAGCATATTTCAAGTTGACTAACTACCATGTATCTTAGCACAATGACGTACATGTACAAGATAAGAGAGTCGTGCAATTTCCTAACCATCATCCATAGGTACCCCCAGCCCGAGGATCAATAATATAAGAAACATGACCCAACAAGAAGCCCCCACGCTAAATACAGGCCGCATACCATACAGACCATACCAATTTCATTCCATGTTAACTGACGGAGCCCACACCACCGGGCTAGCCTTGCCATCCAGAACACTCTACTCAACTGGTCGTGATTGAAACCCACCTCACATCCCTTCCTTTCACCATCTATCACCCTCACCACTCAACTTCCTCAACCGCAACATACCCCCCCACACCCAAAACCTCCCCCCCTTCAACATCTACCCCCACAAACGCTACATCACAACAACTAACCCACCCCCCCACCCACCCCGCGACACATCACGGTCGGGACTAACCATAGGCGACGGCAGAGGCAGCGGACTGTGTCGATCGGGCACCCCCCGGACGGTGTCCCTCGGCAGCGAAGCTGCTCCGGGCGGGCAAAGCTTCTGCTTCCAGCGCGAAGAGAGAGGGGATGAAGTCCGCTTCTCCTTCTCTTCCCACGCCCGGGAGCTGTGTGGGCGTGGGAGTGGCCTGGGGTGGGAGGCGGAAGGGGAAAGGGATTGGGCGCGTGGGTGGGTTTGGATTTGTTGTGAGTGTTGTCTCTGTGCCGGTGTTGATGTTGGTGATGTGGCGAGGGGAGCGGGGGGACGCGCGGGGGCTGTCGACGCTGCTGCTTCGTCGCCCGTGGCAGGGGCTTGATCTGTGCGGTTGGGGTTGGGGTGGGGGAGTGGTATTGGTGTTTGTGGCGGTGGTGGTGGTCGGTGGGAGGTTGTTCTCGGTCCAGATGTGGAAGACGTCGACGTGTTGCATTGTGTTTATTAGGTACACAGTAGATAGCGGCACGGTAATTTAATGGGGTATTGGAGTGTAGCGAATTATCCTCAATGGCGAGGGATCCAAGTCCATCGCCCATCGTTTTAATGTTGTGGAGTACTGATGTACACTATGTATTCCCTGACCGAACCTTTGTATGATCTCATTTTGTTGATCGGCGAATAAAGCTTGGACTGACGTCGTCACGGTGGATTAAAACTTGGATCAGCTGGCACTGCGACACGTGACGACGCGGTATGGCTTGTCCCCAAGTGTGTGTAATAGGGCACCTGGGTTCCATGTAAATGACGCATCCGTTGGGCAAATTTTAGGAGTATCGCCAGGCCAATAAGTAGGATGGTCTACCAGTCGTATATACGGTGCTCTTCCCTCCAAGGCCTCATCTCAAACCTTCCCTGGTGTGCACATAGTCGGTCATAGCGGTTTCCCAACACGGAGCGCTCGGCTCGTTCGTCCAACACGTTTTCCTTCGCCTTGATCCACGCTGGCCCGGACTCAAGACTCAGGGCTTGTAGCATATCAAGCGACCATCTAGTCCATTTCCAGGGCCATGCAAAATCGGCATAGAACTGGCCGAGCTCACCTCCAAGACAAGCCAGCGGTTGCAGAATACGGTCGTATCCGGCGAGCACTGCGTCCCCCTGCGCCTGGGAAAGTTCTGTACGATGTTCAGGGCGATTCGGGCTGCGTGATACCGTGCCCGCCATAGTCATCCACAATGCGAGGCCGGGAGTATTGAGCGCTGTTTTCATCCACTCGACGGTGGCAATCCAGTCTTGGAGAACCGGATGGCCGTCATGGGGCCAGCACAGATGGTTGTAAGGGGGGAAGATCAGCTCGAGAAAGCGGAGGTGGCCCAGACAGTTGGCGGGGACTATCTCCCTCAAAAAGTGGCTTGCTGCAAAACCGTCGGCCGCGTAGGCATCCGGGGGTGGTGCGTTTCGGAGCCTGTTCATGTAATCTAAAGTCCAGCCACTCAAGTCGCTGGGGGCGGGTAAGTGGAAACTCGGACAGACAGAGGGAGTGCTGTGTGGGTAGTATGTCAGGCTATCGCTGACGACGAAACGGTTACAAGAAAAGAAAACGAATCTCGCGTCTTCAACAAGAGCATGCAGATGAGGAACAAGGGCGTTGGCGGCAGCCCAACATCGGCAAGCGTGGGCGGATGAGAAGGCTGTGTGCCGAGGGCGGCAGAAACAGCCGATCAAGCCATGATATGACATGGACCCATCAGCGATTTCGATGCGTACACGTTTCTGGTGGTAGCACCCCTGGAATTGGCATCCGTGGTGCCACGAAGAGCTAGAGCGGCATGCGATGCTGTCCTTTGGGTAACAGTCTTCGGCGGGGGGTCGGTACCCGCGCGATCCTCTTCTCCACAGAACTTCCTTCCAAGGGGTGATAAGGTCGGTATATTCCAGGATCCGAAGCCGTAGCTCTCGAGGAAGGGGTTCAGGCTGACGGCAGGCTTGAAGTGCTGCGTTTCGCGCAACGCGGGCGAGTTCAAAATTCGGATCTTTGCAAAGCCTGATATCGCAGTCCCTCAACTCTGGAAACAAAGAAAGTGGGGCGACGACTCTTGCTGCCGTATCCATGCTGGCCTCTTCATGATCCAGGTCGCATACCAAGGAAAACCGAAGGGTACCAGGGCTGATCCTCGAAGATAAGTAATTCGCTGTTCGAAACCATTCATCTAGCATCGGCCCGGCTTCAGAATGGGAACTTCGAAGCGGCCGGTCGTGGTGGGATGTGTGATGCTGCCGGCAGTAATCTGTACCGCGGGTGCCATTGTGCCGTATGTCGTCGCAGCACTTGCCGCTCGCCTCTTTTTCGTTTCGCTGATGACAAGAGGTTTGGTTCAGCACAATCTTGAGATTGGCCAATGAGGCGAGCGACGTAGTTGTGAGGTTCCGCAGTGACTGAAGCGACGGTTCGACGTCGTATCCATTCCCCCGTACGTGTCTGTAGTGGATGACGAATCGGTTGGAAGAAAACAATAGGCCTGATGCCTCGCCGTAGATGAGGCGGCAGGACAACAACAAGCCTCGAAATGAGACCTGCCAAGTTCGCTTGACGGGACCGTCCAAGTCGAACAGCATCGGCAAGCCATCCCAACGCGTGACGCCAAGGTGTAGGTAAATGCGGCGTCGAACGGACGGGGGAAGGCGCAGAAGGAAACAGACGGGGCGAGATGAGTCATGCAGCTGCGCCGCCATTCGCACCGGTGCTCGACACGGCCGATGAGGCCGGGTTGAGGACAGAAATAAGCCGCGGGATGGTTGAAGCGACAGGTCGAACTTTGGCGATGTGGATTTTGGCGGTGGAATGTGGGATGCCTAGGATTGTAGGTAACTTGAGCAAACGTTCGAAAAGGGCGGGGTTAATTAGGGCTGAAACACAATTCACTCTCAACTTCGGCTGGATGTTGAGTACGCCAATATTTTAATTGCTTTCCTTATGTTTCTACCGAGAACGGGCTGACAGACACGAAGTTTACGACTAACCCTTCAATGTTTGATTTTTCTATGATTATCGGATTCATCACGGTTTTAAAGGCGCGCGTCTCTCAGAAATAACTATCCATGTTACCGTGCAATTATGTAAGGTAGTTATTGATATACCTGTAGTTACTGTACCTGCACGAATTCCCCCTTCAGGGGTATACATTGTAACGTGTAGTTATATGATTCGGATAACATCAATTCAGACCGCGGCCTAGCGTGAGATGGCTCTCCGCTGAATCGTACGGGGTATGATTCTGGACTTTGTGCTAATAAATGACTAGTTATTATCATGGATCTTGCCCACGAGTCTAACATTGTACTCTCGGGTGCCGCTATTTTATGCTAGCTGAGACAATATATTCTTGATTCCTTTCTGCACCACGCTCCGGGCCTGTCTGCTAAGTGGCTTAGTTTCAGTCATTACCAACCAATAGCCGAGAAACTCGAAGAGAAGAATCCTGTGATCATTCAAGTCTTTATTGTATGTCAGGTGCGCTGTCTAGTTCGTGCTGACCTCATGCGGGCCATCATCCGATGGAACTGGTGTCGTCCGATCTGTTGTTGCCTGGGCCCGTTTTATTTGACCCCGCTCTCTGGAATGACCACATCCTTCATCGTCCGACAATGGTGTAGCTTTTGGGAAAAGGTGGGTATGAACTTCTGGCGATGATCCAAGTCTGCCGCCACTTTGGATCCCATAGCCGAGGCATCCCCAGTTTCACTGGTTTATTTTACCACCTTAAGCTCGTCATTTTTCAGCTCCGCCGCTGGAGCTAAATTCCGGAGCCGGGCCTCCGCCACTGGAGGTGATCGTCCGGCGCGAGTTCTCTGCGAACAAATGCAGCCAGAAAAAATGTGTATATGAATAGATAAAAATCGACTTGTAGCTCCAATTTTCCAGTTACTGAGAACAAGAAAACATCCATGATGTGTCTCACTGCCGTGGCATACAATACCTACAATTACTCAACCGTTTCTCCCAGGTCCCTCAACTTCTTGCGGTCCGCCTCTTTGGCCTGTTCCGAGACGTGGGGGTTCTTCAACGCAGCCTTGAGCCCACGAATTCTTCGAGTAGCATTATGTCAGTGATAACTTGGCCATCGTTCAATGATATCAACTCAACGAGACAACTTACACATTGCCCCTGTCCTTCTCCTCGGTCATCTGCGCGTCCCCGGCTTCCCCAACCGAAGCCCTTCTTGCCTTTCTTCCACCGGGCTGCCCCTTTTCGACACCCGACGAGTGGGCTTGTGGAGCCTGGCTCCCAGTTGAGTGAGAGTGCGGGCCCGTTGACGAACTCTTTTTGCTAGATGAGGAACGCCGTTTAGGTTGTGCCGCCTGCGGCTCCTCCATGGTTTCGCCAAATTCGCTTGCTAGGAGGTCACGGTCATGCTGCTTGGCTTCTTCTGACACCCTGGGGTTATGAAGAGCGGCCTTGAGGCCTCGCTCACGATTCCTAGCATCTGCCATATCAATATTGCTACTGGCGGGGGGCAGAATAGGAGTTAGGTTGAGGAGTGAGGCAAAAGACAAAGAAGCAGCGGCGAGTGAAATGGGAAGGTTAATATATGGAGGCGAGTCAGGCTATGGCCCACGAATCTTATGACGTATTGAAGGCGCAATTCTCTTATCTCCCATCTCGTCCTCCCTACCTAAGTAACGCGCTCCAGGATGGGAAACCGCCACTGCGGCGGACACCATCTAGGAGACCCCTGTCATCGAATTTGAACAAGTCGTAACTTGGACCGGAATCCACTGTCGAAGCCCAAACTCATTCCGGTTTAGCTGGTTTATTAAGAGATGACTCCGGGAGACAAGGGAAGAAGACCGGAAAAAATAAAAGGCGCGATTTCCACTGCTAACCTAATAGAAGTTGCTTTAAGGCTTCTGGGGGAAAACGCCGCCAATGGTCATCGCAGGACCTTGGTGCTTCTTGGTATGAGGAGGTATTAAAGCCTTTCTGAAAACCCGTTTTTTTTTTCTGGGCGAGTGTATCGTTTCTCCCCACGATCCCTGATGTATCTTTTACTCAAAATCACCTGGATGAGTCCGACAGGAACAAGGGCAATGTCTGTACTGTTCAATCTTTTCGTATTGTTTTATGTCAAACAACCCTCCACCCGCATCAGAGTCGATCTTGCTTCCGCCGAAGCATCCCAACATGGTAGGTATGGAAACTCTATGTTCGTGGTCGATAGAATGCTTGGAAGCCGCTGCACATGGGCCCCAAACGTGATACCTCATCTCTTGGATCACACAATCACAATACTTTCCATTCCTGGCCGAGTTGTTGGGGCCAACTCACTAGCTGTGGGACCACTGCCCGAGCAGATGTAAAAGTAGAAGCGGTGATCTCCAATGTGCGTGGTCTGCAATGCGACGGCAGGCGCCCTTTCAAGAAGCGATGCAGGCAGCACAGACTTCAAGCAACTCAGAGTCAGACGGCCCGACTGAGCACCCACACCAATAAAAAGCCCGCCCAAGTACAAAGTGAGGCACTTATGAATGAGAGAGGATCGACGCTGCGCCAAGCCCCAAATCCGTCTTTCCCGAGATGATCATCTTCAGCAGAACTTTCGTTCAGAGCCTCGTTGCCTTTTCCCTCTATATTGAACTCAAACCACACCTCCCAAGCCCCAACGATATTGATACCCAACGGGTTCCGTGCCGTCAAAAGGGTTGGGCTGGGTGGGATGCAGAGTATGCTTGGAACCTCACGAATCACGTAATGCTACCAGATTTGCAGGTAAAGTGGCCGTTGTCAAGATGTGGCCGGATGTTCTCCTGGAATAAATAGTATGTGGGCGAGGTTCCAGAGATTTGGAGATGCGGAGTGCTCTCGGAGTTTGGCGCCTGGCTCGCTTGCATGATGCTTGGACCGAAGGCGTCATGGATTTTCCAGAAGCAGGTGGGAAACGAATGGTTACGACTCCTAACTTGGGAGACTATCCGTGACAAGCGCGCGGTTTGATAATACCAAGGGGTTGATGCCTCCCCAAGTCGAATGACCTCCACACCACCATCCAAGCTGACATCGTACGATATGACACAATGGGTGCTATGAGTACGGGGGGAACAGAGAAGCGGTCAAGCCTGAACGAGATCCAAAGCTTGATGCTTCAAATGAGCTGAGCTAATAACACTGCCACATTAGATTGTGCATGACATTGAAATCTTTAAAGCGTGGGGGCGAGGATGAGTTCTGGGGATCAAGGGCCCGTCACCGCAATGATCTGTGGCCGTGCAGGTTGCATGTACCTAGGTGTGTCGCTGGACGATGTCCAACCAGCCCCAGGGATATCATAACACCATTGCCGTTTCTAAACAGTAAAGCGACGCTGACCAATAACTGGAATAGTCGGACTGCATCCAAGACTTGCATATCTCTCAGAATTGGTGAATATGTTTGGCTGGGTAGATGCAGCCTTCTGACCACCCGGCATATGCCCCCGCGACCGGGCCAGAGGAAGGAGCAACAAGAAGCCGAGACCAATCGCCAAGGTCAGCTCGCTGGTCCTTCGGCATTCGATGAATCACTTGAAGGCTAGCATGTAGATATAGAGAAGGGGCTTCCTTCTCCGTCCCGGAAAAAACTCCTCCCCGCTGAGGTCTGGTCCTTCAAGGGAGGGTGCAAGAAAACGACAAAGCCGCCAAACCTAGGACTTCACCCTTAACCAACCCTTGGTGCTCTTACAACATTACATCCTCCTAACCACTGTAGGACCATTCCCACCTCCATTAGGTATGCTGTCATCTGTGCGATAGCCCAGAATCTAATGCATCATGTTAGATGTCCGAGTCTGTTGCCTCTCGTGGTACCGCAAGCGGAACCATGGAAACTGATGGGAATAAAAACTTTATTTTTGATTTCGCCCTTAGGCACGGAATTCAGAGCCAATTCGTTGGCATTTCCACATTCGCCGTGCCGGCGTTCGAGACATCTGTGGTGATGGATTTCGGCAGCCGCGATGTTCTGGGTGGCACTTACATCATCAAAGCCGGCTCGACGGTCGGACAAAGCACCATCAATATAAAGCTCAGGGACTATGGGGGGCATGAAATTACGATCACGGGTAGTTTAACTTCGTCCCTGTTGGAGCGAGAAGAACATGTTATGGGGGTCGGATCATGGATGCTGTCTAGCAGATAGTAGCATAAAGTTCATGTTCTCCAAGGGCCAAAAGTGACTAGAAAAGCATTTGACAACAACCAGCAGCTTTCGAGTAATCATTTGGGGCCTGATCCATTACGGTAACTGAGTGACAGACCACCCTGAAAAATGCTGCGCCGAGATCAATTCGGGGCGCCTTCCCCTTTTAAGCACCAATTCTGTACGGTACTGTACATAGAGCAAGATGCCCCAAGCCCTCCTTTTCGCTAAGAGTATATTTCCTTGTTACTGCTTCGAGGGGTATAAACTGGGCCACTTATCTGCGGCTCGACGTAGGTCTGGGGTAGGCTACCGTATTAGGATATAGATTTTAGCGATTAGATTAGATGTTTGTTGAGTTTTAAATGGAGGGGAAGATTTATATTGGCATTCCCATCAATTCTATTCATTGTATCTTGAACCTTTAAGGAATAACTAGTTATGTCTTAACTATTCCAACTGTTCTATCTTCTATACACAGCCCTAACCCTTATGCCAAATCCAAGGGTCCACAGTACATTGATGGTGCCGGGTGCCAAGCCGAATAATTATGCAGGTCAAAAAGTCACTCTGTAACTCAGTTGGTAACTCAGTTACCGTCACTGAGTTACAATGGATCAGGCCCTTAGTAATTAACTCAAGACCTGTGATTGCCCCTTTTTGCATATGTGACGTTGCATGCCCTCGTTGAGTTCAGCTTTCATGCGAGACGCAGATTCACTCGCGACCGAACTCGCTGAAGTGGAGAGTGGGGTTGGCTTTGTTTGGTCTTGGGGAAGCACGTTATCTCAGTGCTCCGACCAGCATTTTGGCCGTCCGTTTTAGGCTCAGCTGCACGGAGCTGGGTGCCAACCAATTAGAACCTACCAACCCCACAACCCTGAATCCGGCCAATTCTGATGCAAAAGTGGGCTTCATACTCTAGACTTAAATGGCTAGTCTGACAAATTTACAGATAAATTGGGTGGGCGAGTGTCTCACCTGCGAGAAAAAAGAGAGGCTGAGCACTGAGATAAGAAGCGCGCATGGTTGATCCGTTCTGCTCCCTTACCTTCCTTATGCATGTCTGTTGGTATGGCGAGGGGGCAGTGGGGGTGTAGGGGGTAGGAGGGTAGGAGCGAGGAGTGGGAGGAAGGAAGGGGGGACTTGGTTCCTACATGTGGCTTGGTGGTGGGATACTTGGTTCCGAGTTACCTCGCTAGGTACAGTACCTTGTTGCCCTTGCTCCTGGGTACCCAAAGGGGCTTCGAAATTCTCCCCTGTAGCGAAAGCAACGCGAGTTTCTGGTAATAGTCAGAACCTTCATTCCTAACTAGGGATCTAAGTCATATTATGTGACGCATTTCGTGTACACAGGAGGTTTTCTTTTTGACCCCCACCTAGTTCTCAGCTCTGTGCCAAAGGTAATCTACCTAGCCTGCTGATTCCCACTGAGTCGGCGCGGCAGTTATTTCAACGGCGGTTGGCGTCAATAACACCGCGGAGGCAGCCTCTGCCGTCCGCAACTGGTAGGTACCTTACCTAGGTACCCAACTTACTAGCCAGTCGATACGGACCCCAGTGGGGCGCCTTAACGGTTGAATACCCATATAATCGAACAGTTAAAAGGAAGGGGGGGATAAGCCCGGTTTCACTGCATCCGCAGGGGGGCCTGACGTCACAGGCGAGGAGCAAAGCGTTATTGTCAAAGGACGTGCGATGGAGAAGTTTTAAGGACTTTCCCTTCCCGCGATATCCGCTAAAAAGCAGTGCTGGGGCGTTTCGTATCAGGCGAACGTGTCCAGGAGATGGCTGTCGAAGATCGGCCGGGCCGGTCGGCAGGGTACATACATGTAGATGCGGGGCCAGCTCTGGTCCAGCCTGGAGCCCGGAGGGAGAGAAGCGGGAAAGAATTATGCTAGCCGCCAGACGCGCCGTTAATTGAGCCATCATCATGGCCGTACCGTGCCTGACAAGGGCAGCTTCGGGGTATAATATGGGCTAAGATTCCACCAGAGTGCTTGGGAAGAGCTCAGTCAAGGACCTTGTTCGAGCCAAAACGTCGACCCCTTCATCAGTCTCATCGAACTCAGTGATAATATTAGCACCTTTACCTGTTCATTTGATCACGTATACAAACGGCAGAATGAGTACCGCCAGGGGAACCCTCTTCCGCAACAGTCCCAACAGGATCACGGCGGTGTTTGTCATCGACGAGATTCAAAGAACCTTCACAGCCACTGTCTCTCCGGCCGTCCAGCCGTTCACCTCCAACTCCGCAACACTCACCTATACCGATCCCGAGCTGCTGACATCCACGCGTTCGTATTCCGGCCGCATTGGAGTCAACACGTATGAGTTGACTCTCGCCAATGGTCCTACGATCACTGGAGACCTCAACGTCCCCGGCATTTCCCCTGCCAGCACCGTTAATGGCAGTGGAGCATGGGAGCAAAACTGAGGTGCGTAATTCCATCCCGATCAGTAAACCCAGTCTCTAACTTTCAATGCAGGTGTTTTGGGATGGGTGCTGGGTATTGCTCGCGAGGTGGGATATGGGCACTGGGACAGCGCAGATGAAGCCATGGTATTGGTCACAGTCAGGTTTCGTTCAACACGCAACCGACTTGTAGTCCGGCCAGAGAGGAGAAAGCTCCACCACACGTTCTTTCTAGATACAAACTCGAGAATTGATTTTTGTCCCTGTCGGCCTGAACGTGAGCTAGTCATCAGCGCGCCATCATGAACCTGGGTCTCAAGAAGGCCTTCGAAGCCGCCTACCCCCCCAAGCATCCCGACCACCGGGACCTCATCGAGGTTGACTTTGTCGAGTTCGTATGCTCCTGCGTTGGCGAAGAGATGTTTGCAAGGCTCTCCGACGCCATTCATGGAATCCAAGAGCTGGTGGACAAGGACTGTTTTCGCGCCTACTTTGACGCCGGCCTTCAACAGCTCAAGGCCAACAGAGTGGTCCCTCCTGCAGACACTTCACTCTTCCAGGAAGCTGATTTTAACCGCGAAGAAGTCCCGGACATTTCAGAAAATCCCTGCTTCAAGTCAATTGTCACGACAGCCTGGGGGTTCGATGTCTTGTGGTGGCTCTTTGAGGAACGGCAAGACATTTTGGCAACGTTTGTGCGGCAGTTAACGTTGCCCATGGCAGAGATGCATTCATCCGTGTTTCGGGTACGTGCGAGGCGGGAATAGGTTCATGGAGCTAAGGCGAGCTCTGGCTAAGGTATGGGAGAGGTTGGGCGTTGGGTGAATCCCTAGTTAGGAGGGTATTTTGATGCGAGTGTGCGAGAGGGAGCAAGGCTGGGAATTAGGTCACAGGATATGGGGAGCTAGAAGTATGATAACCTCATTAGGAGACTAACTGGTAATATGTATACCAAGGCAAAGTAGGTAGTGCCTAGCAATGTAGGGACGTAAGGACGTTCACAGCTATCGAGTCTCATTCTCCCTTCAACACAAGTGAACGTGATATGCGTGGCATTACAATTACCCCCGAAATCAGCCCGACGGGCATTTTTCAGCTCTGGCAATCTAAACCCAAACTACATAAAATGTTTACAGTACCTATTAGATGCAGTCTCAAAGTTATATCCACCTACCTCAGGCCATGACTACAATCCAAATGGCCAAGTCTCGCCGTATTCCAAAGCCACGTGAGGCTGATGGACCTCTAGGGCGCCAACATGGCGGGTTTCGTCGAACCAAATGAAACCGTCAAACTGCTCGGGCAGCACCGCCATCGAGTAGTGTGACTGGAGTTCCGTATGTGGCACGTAGATGACACCGATGAAGCGCTCCAACCGCTTTTTACTGAGCGCCTTCCGCAGCTTGTCGTCGCAGTGCCCTTCCCGGAGGTCAAGCGCAAAGCTCTTGACTCCCGTGGCATGCATCAACTCCTCGTAGCTGTTGGAAAGGCCCGGCCGAATTTGCATCACCGACATATCGGCGCCCCAGCGACGAGCGGCCGCCACTGTGCCCGTATTACCGCAGCAACCGATGCTGAGCGCCTGCTCACCAAACGTCTCTTTACATAACTGCCCGATATTGAACTCCTTGCGAGACCAGCTCATGCTCGTGGCACGGGCGTCACCGATGTGACTGTTATGCGCCCACACGACTGCCTTGGCCGGTCCATTCTTGCCGCGGTGCTTCAACACACGGACGAGGGTGTCGAACATGTGCCGGTCCCGTCGGTTCCAGGACTCGTCACGGCCATAGTACATGGCCTTGTAGTACTTTTCGGCGTCTACACTCTGTCAGCAGCCCCTCTCGTGAAAAGGGCTCTCTCAAGCAAGGCAAACTCACCCCTCACCAGCCTAGCATTCTGCTCAGCACTATGAAACTCCTCCCCATCCGCACCTAACGCCGCATACTCCAACCTCTTCTCCAACAAATCCTTCAACACCTTCACCACATCCTTCTCGCACCCCTTAAACCCCTCGCTCAGCACCTGCATCCCATACCCATGCGGGTCCTCCGCCCACTCCATCATCCTACTATACCGTTTCGCGGCCGCCTCCCCCATCTCCGGATCCACTCTCTCCAAATACTCCACCACCGCCTCCATGGACGCCCTCAACGAGTACAAATCCAGGCCATAAAACCCAACCTCCCCCTCTCCGCCTCTCTCCCTCACCCCCCTATTCCACCCCCTCAACCACTCCACAAACCCCTGCACCTCCCGATTCCGCCACATCCACGTCGGGAACCGCGCGAACGCCGGCTCCCTCCCCACCCCGCCACCATCCCGCACCACCGGGCCCCCACCATCAATCACCGCTCCCGCCCCCCCCACACCCACCCCGGGCCCAGTCCCAGTCCCAACCCCAGGCCGCTGCCGCACGTAGCGATCGACGGCCTCGGCGTCGGGCCAGTCGGCCTCGGCAGCCACGACGGTGAAGCCGTGGTGCGTGATCAGGTGCTTGGTGAGCTCGGCGCGCGCGGCGTAGAACTCGGAGGTGCCGTGGGAGGCGTCGCCGATGAGGACGATTTTGGGGTCGGTGGGGGGGGGTGAGGAGGCTGCTGAGGAAGTCGGTGAGGGCGGTAGTGGAATCGGTGAGCGGGGGCAGGGGGGTGAGGTGCGTGCGGAGGAGGGGCAGGGCGGGGGTCGTATTGGATGGGGTCGGTGGTAGTGGTGGCGGTGGGCATTTTGTTGGGGTGGATGGGGGGTGGTTTGGAAGGGGTTTGTTTTTGGGTGGTGGGGGTTGTGTGGATGGTTTGTTGGTGTTGGCGTTGTTTGTGGTGTTGGAGCGGTTGGCAGAGGCGTAGTAGGTTGGTTGATCGTGAATTCGGCGAGACAAGGCCGCGGAGTGATGTAGATATAGGGGCGAGTCGTGATGCTCGTCCTGATGCGGCGGCGAGGTTCATGGCGGCTTCTTTGGATATTTACCAGTATATGCGGGTTTGATTTGTCCAAATGGCCAATCGTAGTAATAGACGATGACGAAAGTGGTTGTCCGTGACTCGGGATAGAATGATTTGACGTCAGGGCGGCGAAACTGATAGGCGGATGACCAGCCAAGCATCTCGATTCATTCATAGGCCACATTGGCAGCTGAAGATTTGTACTTTACTAATAGAAGTAATTAACTGTCACCTTTATGTTAATTTCTGGTGATATGTTACCTAACGTAGGGAGTTTCGGGCGGTAAGGAGTTCCGTAATACGCACAGAACTTGACTGTCAAGGATATGAATGGCAACAACGCCTCGAAGGTTAACGACTCATGGCCTCGAAATAATACTGACTTGTGAGCGCCCTGTGGGTGTTACGCTCATCACCCTACTTATGACGCGTTCCCTAGGTACCTATCCCATCCCACCCCGTGCCCCGTGCCGGCAACCCAGCCAGCAGCGGACCTTGTAATAGCATGGCTGATTCCCAACCCAAACGCCCACGAAGTGCCCGCCTCTCAGAGTACTTAACGATTGACCGCCCAAGACAAACAAATCGCCGCCCTTAGCCCCCGTAGCATGCTTAGCCCCCTTTGTGGTGGTATGAGTTGTTGCACCTCGTCGAGATACTGACCATTGCAACCACCACAGCGCTGCCGACGGTTGGTATACAGGTAACTAACTGTTCATGGTGCCGGAGTTGCAACTGCAGTAGGTCTTTGACTTGTAGCAGACCCTGCACACCTTGCTTCATCACCCAACACATACTCTCTACTACCCCAGCACTAACCACTATAACGTGCCTGCTGGTTTGGGCGCAGTGTGTCCGAGGTGCAACTGGACCTCGACCGCCAGCCGGACCTACACCAGTCGAGCTTAACTAATGCGTGGAGAGGAAGACAGATCATCGAGGCCCTGGATGGCAGTGGACTGGAGCTTGGCTGTCTTATCAGTGCCGCTACCATAGTCTCGGTACCAGGTCCGAGGGAGACGTTGTTAATCAACACTGAGGCGTGACACCCTGGGTAGGTAACTTTGTTGCCTCCAGCGTGCGTGTTTCTTCGGCCTCATCCTTGCCGTGCGCTCAACCTCACCCATTTCCTTGATCCACAAGATCCAAGTGTCCCTGCTGACAAACAACGGTACCTGAGCCACACTAGTTGATGGGACTGCTGGGCTAAACTGGTCGGTGGGATACCCTCGCTCATTACATCCAACGGCGATGCGAGTGTAACTACCTATTCTGGGCGCCATGGTTGTTGGTAATAGTTTTAGACCTGTCTACGTTCTTAAAGGAAAGAAAGCATCAACATCCTCAACTCAGTCTTCCAACTTAAACAACCACCCAGTGCCGTGGCAGGTGTTGCAATCCGATTGACCCGAGACACCTGCCCAACGCCCTTAGGGAGACAAACACGGAACCAGCCAAGATACCAGGAGGCGTGTGCAATGGCCGATGTATTTGTCGCCGAGACAACACGGCCCGAGTCCCGGCCAAGCCGCCAATACAGGACCGAGTACGTAACATAGGTTACGTTGCTTGGTATTTGTATGGGGCGTGATCGAAAATTTGAAAAAGGTAATGGGGATAGTTGGCGGGAGAAAAGGCAATGGGCAAACCGGAAGCTCCCCGGTTGGCCAATTCCTGGGTCGTGTTGAAAGAAGGTTCAACTTTCCGTGCCGGCCGTGCCGGTTGGTGCGGCCTGCCTGTCAGACCCGCTCGCTTCTCGCCGTCTCAAAGATGGGTAGTGGGCAGCAGGCCGCTACATTCGACGTTTACACTAAGCACCTTTACGCGAACGTTACCTATTTAGCTCATTGACCTGCCTTGTCATCGACGGGTGCCAACAGTCAATCCCGAGAACGTACCTGATGGATGAAACATTGGAAGTGCCTAGGGTACTTGGGTTACCTCGGCACGATCCTACACCAGCTCATGCCCTGCAATGCAACGCTACCTCGGTCCCGAGCGAGAAACTCGAATGCGCCGTTTTCCTTTGTCACAATGCAAGGCCAAGTCTCCTCCATCCTCCGTCTGGGGGATTGGAGTTTCCGTGAAAAGCCTCCCGAGCCTCCCAAATCAATATCAATCTGCACTGAAGAGCGCTGGCGGCCCGCCCGGTGGAAAGTGGCAAGCCGGGGACCTAACTTGATTTGATTGGCTTCACGACGGTAATCATGCCGGGGAGAGGTACCCAGGGGCGAGGGGCATGTCATTTGGCGGTTGATGTCAATGCATGACATCATGAAATGGAGCTGGCTGCTTCAAGTTGTACAGGAGCAGAGAATGAGATGGGAGCGGCGTAGCATAACGGTTACGGTCGAATCGTTCATCTACAGACAAACTCAAAAACACCCCGAAACTCGCCGTCTGCTAGACAATGATCCGGTATTCACTTTTGTTTGTGACGCTGGGTTTGTTCTCCCTCGGCGACGCCCAAGAACATCCCCAGCAACATGTTCTCGGCGACGAAGTAGTAGCGGGGCCCAACCCCCTACCGCAGGCCGCCGAGTTGGTTCGTGATAAGTGCGTTTGAGGGGCTTCCTCTCGCCAATGCTCATGTGATTAACATGACCACAGGCTGAAGGCGGCTGAAATCATCCCCACCGGTACGCCGGACTCATTAAACCAAGATGACAGTTCACTTTCAAGCCAGCCGACCCATCAAATACTAACAAACCATAACCACCCCCCAGTCATCGATGACTTCCTTCCCTCCCTCGGTCTACACGCGACCTGGCCGTCCGGCTCGCGCGCCCAGCTCGGCAACACCCTCGCGCCAGCCAACCTCGACTCGGAGCCATCCATCGCACTGCACGACATGCGCGCCGCCACGGGCCCCTCCCCGCCAAACAAGAACAAGAACAAGAACAAGAAGAAGACCATCACCTACGCCATCACCCTCACCGACCCGGACGCGCCCACCCGCGAAGACCCGTCCTGGTCCGAGTTCTGCCACTGGATCGCGGCGGGCGTGCTGGAGCCGGCGCTGTGCGACCCGCGCGACCCGGGCCCCTGCGCCCCCGTGCTGTCCCACCTGCGCGAGATTGTGCCGTATAAAGCGCCGGCGCCGCCCCGGGGAACCGGGTTCCACAGGTATGTGCTGCTGGCGTTCGTGCCGCGAAATGGGACGACGGATAAGTTGAGGCTGTCGAGGCCCGGGGGAAGGAAGCGGTGGGGGTATGGTGAGACTGGGGTTGATGGGGAGGATGGGGACGGGGATGGGGTTGGGGTTGGGGGCGGTGATGATGATGCGGGGAAGGGTAGCACGAAGGGGGTTAGGCAGTGGGCGAGGGAGAATGGGCTTGCGCCGGTCGGTAAGTCGTTACGCTAGGGGGTGGACTATTTGTTTGTTTGTTCGGTTTTGGGACGTGGTGCTGATGATCGGGTCTAGGGGCCAACTTTATTTACGCCAAGCACCAGAAGCAGTGAGTGGCTGTCTGTTGGTATTGTGTCTTTGCATGCCTTGGCTTTTTGGGGAGAGGCAGGGACCAGCAGGGAGCTGTCGATCGTGTCTGCAAGATCGCGGGCCACATGTTTGCTACCCAACCGAGCCAACCTTAAACGAACGGGGTGTCTGTGTGTTCTCCCTTGCCTCCTGGCCGTGCTCGCACATAATAAATCCGATGGGCTGCAGATTACGAATAACTCCAGGCGTCTGCATCCTATCAAACATGCATTTCGCCCAGTATCCGCTTTTGGTCCATCGGTTAACCTTCCTTGACCCCGGAACCAACCCCCGTCGACCCGATTCGGACGCACCAGCATCGAATTCAGCCCAGCCCAGCTGAACAGAGCAAGTGAGCGGCAGCTCGAACGTTAAAAATTGTGTTATTGGTTGACATCGGCATCTGGACGCAGCCATCAGAGGTCCGCCAAACAATCCCGGTGAGGAGCTGGCCAGTCCCGAGCCAGTCCGTCTCGGTTCGAGAATGCAGTTTCTCGTTGCTTTTTCTGCAGCTCAACCCAGCAAGCTCGACGCCTGAGCACCCTTGAGCACCCTTGAGCACCCCCCTGAGCAACCCCCCTGAGTCCTCCCTTTCCCCCCACGCCAGGCCGGCACCCAAACTCTTGGGATCAACCCTGTGCCACCCCCGCTAATTAAGAGGGGCTGGAGCTCCCATCGCTTTTGCCATGTGTGACCCGAATTCCCAAGACCCTTCGTGCAAAACCAGCTGCTTGCGCTCGTGCGCTCGTGCGCCCGTCCACTCATTTCTCGAGAACCAGCCTGCGGGGACGCGCCAGGGGTGGAGAGCAGAACAACCCGACGAAACGAAACAGACTTATTAGTCCACAAGGTATCATCCAACTGCCAACGGGTGAACCTAGCCAGGTGTCTCTTTACCATGAGCCCACCGTCATACCGATCCATTCAACCAGCACCGGCCAGGGGAGCGAGGTCGGGCAGTGGCGCCCCCTCTGGCTCCTCGAGCTCCTCCGGCTCCACCGGTTCGGGCTGGTTGAGCGCAAAGGGGCTCACAAAGAGGCTGAAGGCAGTCACACAAGCTTGCCATACATGTCGTCGCAATAAGGCCAAGGTAAGAGAAAGCCGCTTCGGACGGTTGGACCCGGATCACCGGAGCCCGCCACCCCACGCGCCCGCCCCTAAGCCAACAGGCAGTTAACATGACCACCCCCACCAGTGTGACGGCGTGCGACCGAGGTGTGGCGCTTGCACTGCGAGAGCCTCCCCTTGTGGATACGATGGCGAGGCCGGGCAATCGCGACAAGCCGCCCTCAGGGCGCGCCTCGAGGAGCTGGAGAAGATGGTGAAGGACCTACAGTCCATGTCCGACGCCGACGCCGAACAGTATCTCCGCCGCATCAGGTCCTCGGCAAATGAGCCGTACATAACACCGCTGCTCAGCACTGAAACCGACAATCGATCCGCCAGACAAACGACCGTTGCCACTTCCTACACGTCCTCCGAATCTTCTTTTCCCGGCCGCTCCCCGGAATCGTCGACCTCTCCCGAGGCCTCTGGAAGCAGCGTGGTTGCAGCCACCACTCTGTCGGACGATGCGTCCTCTCCACGCGCAACCCAACCGCCGGCCGATGATCTAGCCGCCCTCCTACATTTTGACATCCCTCTCCCCAGCGCCAAAACAACATGGGCCGGCGTCCAGAGTTTCTTCAGCTCCACCGGGAGGCTGTTTCACATCTACACCCAGCAGCAGATGCAAGACTACTACAGGACCGTATTTGGCGTCGACGGCAAGGCCGATACCTCGCAGAAGCTGGCCATATGCTGTCTGTATGCTTTTGCCGCCGTAGGTATCCAGTACAACGCCGGCGATTTTAAGGAGGGCCTGGAGAAGACGTTCCATGACGTGAGTCGCCGCTTCTTCTCCGAAGTGATGGAGGACAGGCCTCTGGACACCATCAAGGTCTGCACGCTGTTTGCCATGTACAACATTCTGGACAAGGCGACAGTGGCGCTGGCGTATGTGGGTGAGTTGCCCCTGTCTGTCAAGCACCCGTTGAACCCTGGGGCTGACGGTACCTTGCAGAGGTCGGTCTCAGCATGTCCAAGAGACAGAGCTCGAGTACCGGAGCATGTC